CCTATTAAAGCTACCCTTCTAAATATAATTTTAAGTAACTGGGAACATCTAGATGTCTGTGACTGTTCTGAATTTTATCCAATCAAAAAAAAAAGCTGAGTATGTTTATATTTTAACAATCATAGAAGGATGAGTTTAAAATTATTATTAGCCTGCTACTTTAACATATTATTGTGTACTTGTGTGATGTTGATTTGGAGATTGAGTTAAGTATTATTGTGTTGCCGATCTCTGCCAGAATGGAGAACAGGTCCCATGCCAATACGCTACATCAGCATAAACATAACAATTAAACTTCCAGCAAACATTATGCCTTTAACAATGCATCACCCTCTATACTATCTGTGTAGGCCTAGCACAACATGATATTGGAGATCTTGAGTTCAAATCCTGCTTTAGCTCATGTTTTTCTTATATCATCAAATAAGTCCAGATTTCATTGCATATTTAAAAAAAAAAAATTTGATTTGATTTTAAAATGAGAACAGAAATAGTTTGAAAAAATAGAGGAATAAAATCACCATTGTACAATGTTTGAGAATTTGAAATAGTGATCTGATTTAAAGATAGTACCAGTTGTAGCTTAAAATTTACTAACAGGTGGAGGTGTTCAACAAGATGTACAAGGAGTCATATTTTTTTTTATTTAAGGATTGTACACTCATGATTCAAGATTATTATTTGGAAACAGCAATACTTCTGACCAGCAAATAAAGGTTTTTTTAGTCCGACAACCTCAAGCAGCATCTGACAACAGGGGTCCATGCTGACCCCTGAACCCTCTAGGGAACCTCTGTCTCCGTCACCATCTTCCTATTTTTATTTGTCAATACATGTGACATGCCTAAATATGGTCATGATGACATCATTCATGACCATAATCTGTAGGCACCTCTTGACTATCTTTGGGTATACTGTACAGCCGTTATTTGCCAAAGAAGCTTTAGGCATGTAAATAGACATGCTTCATTCATTATCCAGAATGTGGACATTTGTTCTATTTGTTTTTGCATACAGACAAAAATCGTTGAGGCATATCAGACTTACGACCCCATATTAGCCTTACTGTACCCTGTAGTGTTTATTTTGCCATCTAGTGTTTAAATAATACTATAGGCTTATTTTCAAAATAATATCAATATTTTAGATAGGCAAGAAATTATGTTGATGGTGGACAAGTAGTTACATCATATGTTGATCATATTGATGATGTTCCGTTTTGATACTGTAAATAAATTTCAGATCAAAATAGCGCATGAAAGTAACTTTGGTATGGAGATACACCTCCACTGGTGTTTAAATTAAAAATAATAATAAATATTTGAGAAAAATGTATGTCCTCATTGGGATTCGAACCCATGACCTTCTGTTTACCGTTCAGATACTCTACCAACTGAGCTGTGAGGCCAAGTAATATACACCCTTGGGTTTTCCCATTAGGACACGTTTTTTTCTCAATTCATTGCATAATATGCAATGAATAAATCTCATGAAAGTAACTTTGGTATGGAGATACACCTCCTTGGCATTAATTTAAAGATGATAATAAATATTTGAGGGTGTATACCAGTTGGCCTCATGGCTCAGCTGGTAGAGTATCCAAACAGTAATCGGAAGGTCTTGGGTTTGAATCCCGATGGGGACATACGTTTTTCTTATATATTTATTATACAGATAAAAATATGCCAATGCAAATGCTTTTCATATAATGTAGGAATAAAAAAAATTATATTGTTGATGTTGCTGTTTTTGTTGTTGATGTTGCTATTCTCATTTTTTTTTATTATGTTTGCTAAATATTAAAGCTAGTTATTATTCTATTTTAGTATTTGAAGTAGATATTGTGAGGTAATTTATAATTATATTCATTTTTTTTTTCAACAATATTGATTATTAATATCATCATCCGCTGCAAATTTGACACCCTTACTTTAAGAACATTTAAGAATTGTATTTAGTTACCTCCTTTCTTGATTTTTATATATTTATTTGTTATTTATTTTATGTTGTGTCTGGACCTCTTGAGAGACCAGTACTTATGTATTGAAAGAGTACTTCCAGAATAAAGAAGGATTTGATTTGATTTGATCATAGCTTTTATTTCCTCCCCCCTCCCCCCAACTTACAGTACTTTCACCTGTGCTACAAGACATTACTCAAAGGCTTGTATGATTAAAGTTTGATAAAATAATATCAGTTTCCTCCCAGATGTTACAGTGATTAATTAGGTCACAACGCTAACTGCCATTCTTTTTCAGTTCCCCGTATCATTGGCGCCTTTCACTCTCCTTATAATACATTCACCAAAAGAAGTGTACTGTCTATTCAACAGCTTGTATTATAATTTGTATTTCAACTACACTATGAATTGCTACTTTTATTGTTTTATTATTATAATACAGTAGACTAGTGTAGTACAACTCACCATATTATTATAAAACCATGTATTTTTCTGTATTTAATAATAATAATCTTTTATCAAGGATATCTCTACTTAATACAATATGATACAAGCATGATCCATTAAAATCTGACCCATGTAATGTCATCATTTCATTATGTTTTTGTTCTTCTATGTTCTTACTTAGTAATTGCAATGTTTTTAATCTTTTTAATTGTCATTGTGATTGTTAATTTTAAAACAAATTTAAGTACTGTACTGCAACTTCTTAAAATTCTTTGATTGAATAAAAATAAAATATACCATCTATATAATAAATAAAAATATTTTTTTTAGTTTAAATTATTGAAACAGTAGATGTAAATACACCATAATGATGATCATGACGATGACTAGGCCTTTAATAAATTTTTGCAGCCATAAAATTATTCATTCTTGGTGTTCAAGCCAAAATTAGGTAGTGTAGGAGACAGTGGAATAATCAAGGGTTTTAATATGGCCTAGAATCAGGATCTGTTGTTGGAATTGTCAATATAGCAGGAGACGCATGTGTGTTCCCCCACCTCTATTCTAGGTCCACCACTGTGAAAAAATAAGTGGTTTTTTTAGACCTATCTCTTTTTATAACCATTCCAAAAAAATATAAAAATACTTTTTACAGTATATTTTAAGGAGGATACAGTATATTTACTATTTTAACTAATATCTATTTATTCTGTTTTACTCTATTGAAAATGTATCCTAGTAATGCATTTTAAAAAATATCTTTGAAGAAATTCATATTGAGTAAATCTGAATATGGTTAAACAAAAACTAAAATTAAAACATAAATAATAAAAAAAAGTCCTGATATTACCATACACTTAAGAGGCAAATGTTTCAATCTATTCTGTATATCAATTTCATTTTTGTCTATTTATAAGTGTGCTTAATAATTGATACGAAGGTGGATGAAGCATGTGCTAAGTACTCGAGGCAGTGAATTTAATTTCCTGAAGAGGTATCTTAAAGGAACCTAGGTTTCTATCAATAATCTTATAAAAGATGCAAACTGTATCATTGGTTTACATTGTTTTTGTATAATAAATTACATTGATATTATTAACTAATTTAATGTTTATTTAGCTACAATCATTCTAATGAGCTAAAAAGGCAAGACTTTTTTATACCTTGTTTTAACAAACCCTTTCCCCACCAATAGAGGTGATTTCAATTTTTTTTTTTTTTTTTTTTTTGACCAGTTAGCCACCCTCTGCCACAAACAATTAAAAAAATTATTTAAAAAAATAAAAATTTTATTTATTTTAATTATGGCCTCCATTGCTTTGAAATCCTCCAAAATAAGAGACCTATACATCTTTTTTAATTACCCTATATAAAATACTCTGTTTACATTGTATTCTTTATGATCATGCAATTTTGTGAATAGCATTTTTCATTCATCCATAAAATGTTATTTTTTAATTTCTTCTTTAGTAAGATGCTTTTGTTAAACCATTTTGCTGAGTAAGAAAACAAAATTTAATTTTTGCTTTTTTTCTGTCATCCTCTGACGATCCTTATAAAAATGAAATTTGCTAAACATAGTACACATAAAGCCTCGCCTAAGCTGTATGATAGTAGCCTGATAATATGATACCAATAGAATCCAGGCAGGGTGGGGGCTGGGAATAGATGTCCATATATGACTTTGTAGAATGAGACAAACTTTCAACTAGCCTTTGCTGTTTTTAGTGGCATACATATTTTAAATCGATATAATAAATATTGTAGTAAAATGTTGGAGTATTTAAACCTTTTAAGGTTTAATTACCAATTTAATGTTTATAAATAAATGTCTAGGTTTTAACAGTACTCTTCATGAAGTAATAAATCTATGTTTCATAGCTCCATTGTAATGAAAGATTCTCAAAATGTATGTGTGGTATTTCATAATTGACAACTCCCACAGAAATACCACACTGTACCATTTCATCATGTGATTTACTAATACTTTTTTTATTTGGTTCGTTATTTTTGAACATATGCAACTCTGGCTTAACTCTCTCATTCAACTCATGCTTGCCTGGATTGGAATTTATTGCTACGATTAAGTTGCCGTGTGTGCAGAACCGGAAGCAACTTATCTTTCACATGCTAATCAATTGATATTACTGTGTGCTGTACAGTTTTAATGAAATGCAGTAGAGGCAATCAGACATGCAAGCACTTTAATTTTATGATTCTTTAGAAAAAGGAGTTATGAATTCTAAGAATTGTCCATAATCATTTAAATAAATGGCAATACTGTAGAAATTTTGGATTGACACTTTCTCAACCAAAAAGTCTGTTTTCTGTAAAATGTAGGTGATCTCCTTAAGGTGATTCCTCCTTAATAGGGGTGTCCCAATAGTGGGGTTCTATTGTATTTAAACAACATAATTTGTATCCGAAAATGCATGTACAATTATGTTTTTTTATATTCGCTAAAAAAAGGCAGATTGCATTCTCAAAGGTTATAAAAACAAGCACAGAGAAGGCAATAGTTTTTATAATACTTCACATGTAGAATTATTGCTTATGAATATATTATGCAACACATTTATTAATCATTTTTCAGAAGACAGCAACAGATATAACAGGGGTTGTTGAGCAGAAAAATGGCAGAAGAGTTTCAGAAGTTCTTAAAAAATCTAGCTGAGAGTATTTCTGAAGAGGAGCTGAAGTCATTGGCTGGAGCTTGTCAAGACAATATTCCAAATGAAGATAGATTGAAGTTCGATAAGCATCAGGACCTCTTCAAATACTTGGAAAAGGACGGAAACCTTGGACCAGGTAAGTTTTACTCTGTGATAAAAATTAGTGGTGGATCACAGTGGGAAGCGAAAGGGGTTGCTCATCCCCTCCCAGAAAATCATCATCTTCACTAACAAGTTTTTTCTGACCATAATTGTTTTAGATAATATTGAAAAAATTCATCTGTTCCACTGTTAATTTAATGTTGATTATATTTTAAATTTTTCATGAAGACGAGATTGTAAGTGGACTCACCCAATGTTACATCATTTAAGAATTTAAAATCGTTAAAACTCTCAAAATTTTCAGGGACTATATTCGACTGGTCCCACACACTAGGTATAGGACACCCCCACCACTTTCTTCTCTGACCACAGGTTTATTTGGTGGTTTTATTTGTTTTCTTTTTTAACACAGGTTTTAAATGGCGCTATAAATATACAGGCCATGACCTAAGTTTGATGTGCTTTCTTTTATTTGAGATTGAATAAAGTATTTTTTTATCATTATTATTATTATTATTATTATTATTATTATTGTTATTATTATTATCTATTATTATTATTAATTTTTTTTATTATTATTATTATTGTTAGTTATTATTGATATTATTACTGTATTATATTATTTCTTATTATTATTATTATTATTATTATTATTATTATTATTATCATTATTATTATTATTATGGCGGTGGTGGCTACAACAGTGACAGAAATGGTGATAGATATTGTTCAGTTTAGTGTACTATTAAATGGTACATAGCACTTATGAATTTTAGCTCTACTCGATTATTGATTAGTTGCAGAGATACGAATCTATTATTGCAGATTGAACGTGTATAATGTCTGTCTTTTTCATTAACTCTTTACCAACCATTCATGTGCTATTTTGATTCTAGAGTAAGATGATCTCTCATCGCAGGTAATATAACAAAAACTGCCGGCAAACGCATGAAAAAATGAAATTTTATAGCAAACTCTTAAACAGAACTGGAGCAGCATGCCATGGAAACAGCATCGTTAATCTTGCAATCACCGTAACATTGGCCACAATACCTGGTATTAATTGAAATCTTTGGCTCGCATTTACTTCTAGTACGGCACGTGTTTTAGATTTTTTTTTCCTATCAATATTCATGAGCATTAGAGATATTGAATAATTATCTTATGTAACATATGCAATAATGAATTCTTATTGGCTACAGATACCTATGAAGGTGTTGATACCTGTATAGCTGTGTATTGAAATTGATGATGGACCAGAAATTAATTCATGTTACATTGTCTAGCATTAGTATGCTCATACATGGAAACACTTTGTTCAAACAGATGACTTTATTATTCCACTATAGGGAAGCTCACTGCTCGCCGTCACAAATACAATAGATAAAAAATATGTAGTGTGTTATGATAATAGATGTGTTATGTTAAAGAAATATAACTTTGTTCACCATAAAACAGGAGGTAAGCAGAACACACTTCATTTTACTTCATTTTGGTCCAAAGAATTAAAAAAAAACAGATGAAACCATAGTGACAGAGAGAGGAAAAAATAACTCAAATGGCCTGACAGGATTGCCAAAAGGTGAACTAAATCACTGTCTAGTGGATCTCCGATGCCAATGAGAACAATAATTATCATAATAGGGTCAAGTAAATATATTCCATTATAAATATGTAAATTACAAAATCATCTAGGAAATCATTGTCAGAGAAGTATGCTAGATAATTATAATTTTGTAGCGTAAAACAATGTTAAAATGTTCTATGTACAAGGGTAAAATGCGAGATACGATACAACTTCAGCTGTGCTTAATTGCTGTAATATATCAAACAAAAAAAATAACGTTTGAATTGCAATCATTCTTAATTAGAAAGCGATCTACGGTACTCCACCAAACTGTACTTTTAAATCTGACCTCATTAATCATTTCTTTCGATGTTTATCAATTTTATGTTCGCTGACTTAACCTGAATTTAACTTGCAAATGTTGAATTATTTTGATGACTTTCTTCTGGGTTAAATAGGCATTGGAGACAGATAGATATTTCACATTATTTTAAGAGGTATGCACTAAAGAGGGCGCTGTAGGAGAAAATCATTTCCCATCCATCATATTACTCACGTCCAAATTGTCTGAAATTATTTTTAATAGTTGAAAGGTCAATTATTAACAGCGATGGAGCTTTTTCACTCCCACCCCAGCCCCAGCATGTTTCCTTTTTTCCCCCGACAGAATACACTGGCTCCCTGATGGCTTTGCCCAAGTCCAGCTGGCCCACCCTCTGGTATCCCCCAATGTCTATTAATGAACCAAAAATTAAAATATTTAGTTGCTAATTTAGTTTTAAAATAAGTTATCAGCACCAAAACAGACAAAGATGGGAATGGTTCCTTGATGGTTGTTTGATTAACAAACCTTGTTGTAGGGCCTACTAGAATCCTGAGATTGGTTATGTTATCAGCCAATTGAAAGTGTATATGCAAAGAGTATCAGAATTGTGGCTTAGTAGAAACAAATTTTAATTTACAATATCAGAATGTAATTTCTTGTGAAAAAGATGTTCAATAAAGTTTATCTGTATCTGGGTATTAGAGGTCTCGGAGACGCACACTATCGTAACTTGCCAACTTCTAAAGTCAAATAAATGGCATGCATGTATTAAAGATACATTTATTTTCTAATCTTGCTGTAAAAAAAAAAAAACAAAGATCGTTCTAGAAATACAAAATTTTCCTACGCATTTTTCACTTACGTGTAGTGAGCGAGATATGCGTGTTGTCCGCACTGTTAGCAGATAGAAACTAGTCAGCGTATAACGTCATAAATGATGACATATACGTCACACTAGCTGTATGCGTTCGCATGCAAAACCTCCCTAATATTGGGGCCACTATATCTTAAAGGCACAAATTGACAGTGTGTTCAACCAATCAAATAATTTATACATTTCAATTTGTTCACGTATATTTTGAACGTATTACCCATGTGCCATTGTCTTCTTGCTAAAGAAAGCCACTTGCTTGACATGATGTGTAATTACAACATACATCTTCTGGTATCAGTATCTGAGCAATTGCTTAAAGGTCTTGTTTGGTAATTTCTTGTTAAGAGCTGTCATGCTTTAGTGAGTGAGGCTAGCACCAGTCCACACCTAATTGATGTAGACTTTTTCTGCACAAATTTATATTTTTCATGACAATGTATGAATGGTACACCCTTTAGCCACTTTTTAGCACATTTTTAATATATTAAGTATAACAAGTATAATAATAATATTACACTCACATAAATAACAATGAATGATATTTTAAAAATACTCATAACATATAATTATTTATGTCCTTATATAATAATTTAATTAAATCAAATTAATTAAATATTTTCATATTTATACTGCACATAGTTATTTTCAAAGGAATACCAAAACCAAATTATGTGTTCATAAATTTCTATTACAAGACTAAAAATGTATATTTCATCGATCAATCTTGATTTTTCCTATTAAGTGTTTGAAAATTATCAACCCTCTGATTATGAATGGGTACATTCGTAAAGAGGCAAATCAGTGCTATCATCACATATATCGCAGCCACAGATGTTTTGGCTAAATTACAGGATAAAAGAACAACGCGCTCAAAGGAATTTCTTCTTATTTGCTGTTTAGTGCTTAGATATAGCAGTGCAGTTCTGAACTCGTTTCTGTGATGTGGATGCATTATGAAATATAGCACCATTAATGGAGACAATGATGTTTCATTATGTTTCATTACCATTATCAGTAATTTATGCTATATAACTGTACTCATTTTGTTTTGTCCATGCTTACATTTTTAAAATATGAACTACAAAGTGCATCTCTATATCACTCAAAATCAATGGATATTGTATAGTCTATCTTTGGCATACATATATTTTTTTTAGCATAGATAATATGTTGTTTTACTTGCAATAAAAACACAAGCAAAATACTTGTGATTTTTATTTTTACAAAGATGTATATGTATGGTTGGTAAAGAGGGATGTCAAAATCTAAGACATTCCTAATCTTGAAGTTTAAGGAACATTTTTTTTTATTTATTAATTATTATTATTGTTGTTGTTGAGAGATAATTTTAGCGATGCAGAAAAACAATACAGACACTCCAGTAATTGAGCTTATAAGCCACACAGTCCGCTGACTGTCGGACATCGAACCACTTTTTTGTCTGTGTGGGCGTTTGAAAATGTGATGCTGTCTGCAGATTATTCAGTGGCAGACAGCAGATTGTCATTGAAAATGATCTCCTGCATGTACCTTGTCGTACCCTGGTCTCCATAGAATTGTCCTCTTTACCGCCACAATGTATGCCCAAATTCAGCAACCATTTTGTATTTATTTAAATTGTGTGTATAGTGGGTAGGGGGAATGGGAGGAGGTGTATACTTAGATCTCTAAAGTAAAAATTATTTTCTCTTATCACAGAAATCTATTGTGAACTTGAATTTAGAGGAAATAAAACTTTTATATTTACAAGTTTTCCAACCAACCTGTACTATAAATATTTTAATCACTCAACCGGTAATCCGATTTTAAATTAATCTGTTGGTAACAATATTATCCGGATTTAGATTGATAATCCACAAAGTTTTTATTACAGCTTTTGATCCTTTTATTACATGTGATGTGTAAAGCATTGGATTATGCGGCTTTGCATCATTAAAATCTGTTCTGTCTTTATGCAATATGCTATTCATTAAATCATTGTAAAATTCTCTCTCACAGATAACCTTTCGTATCTTGAGCATGCACTAGAAAAAATTTGTCGTCCAGATCTCGTGACCCAAGTAATGGATTTCAAGAAAACAATTGTGTCAAATGAGGATAGCAACAGGACAATACGTGGACCAGCACGAAAATATAAATGTATAGTATTTAAATGTTTACATATTTAAAAACTAAATCTCAGTACTTGTGTCAAGATCATTTAGAAAAAAAATATGTTTGAACTTATTTTGAGTAAATCTGCACTCACATCTGATCCGAACCGAAACTCGGGCCGCATTTTTTCCGATGCCCTGAATTCCAGCATCTCTTCTTACACGCTGTTTGCAGAATGCTATATATTCACACTATATAACAGTAATTGATTGATTAATTGATTCATTGATTGATATATTTTTCTTCCAGCCCTTGATATAGAGACAGGAGATGTTCCAGAGGATATCATTTCCGGCATCTCCAAGATTAAACTTGCGCCTCCACCGCTGGAGAGGAGGAAAACCAAAGAATAAAGATGCGTTGTGATTGTTGGTATGAAATCTATGAAGAAAGGCCAGACGTCATGGCATTTACCGAAGACATCTTTTTTATTACTAAATCTTTTTTTATATGATTGATTGGTAAATGTGCTCTGAGGGAGAAGATGAAGCAAACTTTAGAGATGGCTCAACTTTTCAAAGATATAACAAGCTTTAGGAAAATGCTGTGAAGAATTTGCTGTATCACTGTGGTTTCCGTATTTGTGTGTGTGTTGTTCATTGTCTGTTTTCACTACTTGGTGTAAATTGCAATTTGGTGCTTACTGCTGTGGAGGTGGACATAGCTTCGGGATTTACGATGCAACTGGAATCGTAAACAATATGAATCGTTGAACTTTAGAGCGTTGTGATTAGGCACTGCAAAGCCGAAAGTTATCCAACAAGTTATTCAGCTTTTAACAACAGCAAACCATTAGTCTGGAAATATCATATTTATAGATATTCATTGAGACATTAAGACTCGTAAGTTGATTATTTTTAAAAGTCAAAGGTTATACAATTTTATTTGTGAAACTATGAAGTTGATCAGATTTGTTGGAAAACAAAATCCAAGATGTGTATTCAAGAAAATATTATATTTAACATCTACTTTTATGTATGACTTTCATGTTTATAGATATTTATTTGCAGATGAAAAAAACAAATACAGGTCTCCCTTCAATTAAAGACCACTATTGGGACCAGGGCTTCCTGGTCTTTAGCAGCTTTGGTCTTTAATTGGAAAAAATATTATTATTATTATTATTATTAAGATAAAAAGATAGGCACTCACTTGAGACTGCAGAAAAGTGGTCCTTACTTCGAGGTTGCCTTAAATTTGAGGTGGTCTTTAATTAGAGGGAGACCTTTACAGTAGTTAGTAAAATCACATTTGCACAGGATTTTTCTAACAGCTAGTTAGGAGATACATTTACACTTTCACTGTAAATACAATGAAATGATGGGAAATTGTTCACGAATTGATGCTCAAGTCCGTAGACCAGGTAGCAACAAGCCTAGTTAAGTAGTTTAATCCATGATTTTTAGAAATAGATTCCCTGCTGATTCCAGTGAATTGTATGAAATAAACATTCCATCTTTATTTCACATTTGCACAACTCATTACATCGTATAGTAAAAAAAAATAGATACATTTAAGTCTTCAAACATGACTATTAACATAGACTACAGATTTTTATTTTTTTTTTCAAATTTGATTCCAAAATATTTTAAATACTATACAAAATGAAGTGCATGCTATTTTTATGGAATGGCCTCCATACATCTAAGTTCTATTATTAATCCAAAGATTATTTTTGCAATAATTGTTAATAGTATACAGCAAATATATGGTGTTAGAAACATATAGACATCTTATAAAAAAAGATATATTCAATATGCAGCAAACAAATTATCCCCATTGATAGTTCAGAGATCTTGTGGACAACCATATCTTTCAATATGCAAGAGAATCTTTACAGAAGCAAAATATAATACTACTACTACTAAAGTAGTAAGCGCATTAAAAATTTTCCAGCGATAGATGCCTATTCAGAAATAATTACCATCAGAGAACAATCTGGCTCTGATAATTATATATGACAAACTATATCTTTCAATAATTATCAAAGATATAAGATATAATTATTGTACTACTAAAACCTTATAAATGCGCATTAAAATTATTCAATTTTATGAGGTGAATTGATTTACACAAATGTCTGATAAAGTAGGCAAATAGGTTTCGGTGGTGAAACAGATATTCTGGCCTTGAGAATCATGGAGTATCTGTGGGACTGGGTGCGCATTCTTCTGAAAAAATGTTGCATCCCCACCACTGGAAATTTACTCAAAATTGGTCATTAACTGATAAAAATTGTTGTAGAAATGTTTAAAAGGCAATCTCGTGTATAGGACAAGTTTTAGTAGGATATAAAATTGAATTTTAAAAAAATCCTAGATTCTCAAAACCCTATTGCCGACCAAATTTTGGGTTGTGACCCATAGTTTGAAAACCACTGTACTATAGGCATAGGCACAACTTGCACGCAGTTCTCAAAATCTTTCTTTTTAACATTAACATTTTAGTAGGTTTTGCCAAAGTGACAAATGTATTTTAATGAAATAATATCAATACTATCATTATGGATTGTGGCTTTACATTTATTAGTTATAATATTTTTCTAAAAACACATACTTCTTTACTGCTACATTTTCAAGATACAATTTTTGAATTAAATGGTTTTAAAACGTTTATAAGCATTCAGATTTCAACATTTTTAAATTGGACGTAATTAGATTATCTTTCTGGAAGTTCTAGTGCATAATAACATTGAAAGTGAATGAGTGATCAAATAGCATTACCATAGCTTTTTTACTTTTGTCCAAAATGAATAGTGTTATAAACATATCACACAGTTATAAAATAACTTGTGTTTTAAAAATTTTAGACTTTTGGTTGATAACCAGATAACAATTTAAGTATATTAAATCGTTTTATATGTTTTCAGTATAATTGGGTGTGTTATGATCTTCTTTTGTTTATACTGTAAGATGAATGTAGAATGGTAAAATTTTGTATTACCTTAATGTTAGACAGTTTAATATTTTTTTCGGTGTTATACTACTTCTTCATTTTTTTTTTACTAAGTGTAAAAAAGACAGCTGTGCATTTATGCAATACCAATGCATTATCTTTCGTTGAACTTTCTTTCATTTTAAGTATGTTTCTGTATTGGTAATTTTCTTTTTAAATGGTTTATTTTAATTCAGTTGGTATAATTTCAAAGAATATTAAGATATATTATATAAAATATATGAATTATAATTTCAGAAATATAATGATTACAAATTTTATCTATGCTTGTTTATTATGTAGTGGAGAACTAGGTACGCTTAAATCCATAATGTTCTTGCACTGTAGTATGTAGTTAGCTTTAAATTGAGATAAAATACTTAGATAAATACTTACTTAGATATGTTAGTTTCACCTTCATCTACATCACTCTTTGCTGATCTGTGATAGGTTGTAAAGTATTTTTATTGGTGTAATTTAACACTTGCTGACTATTCAGAAGGGTAATTGGAACAGGTAGACATTCATGAATTCTCATTTGCCTTTTTCCCAAAACCGTCAGGCTTGACTGTTGAGGGCGGGCTTGTAATTCTAAACTTTCCAAAAGACAAACCCCTCAAAAAAACTTTTCTATTTATATTCCATGCATTATCTTCATTGGGACCAATTTCTGCCATGTTTATTCAGATTCAATTTATCTAGTAAAATGAAGATGAATAAAGTTTCATTTTCCTAACAATATAACAAAAACTGCCAGATTAAAATGTTCTAAATTATTTATCTTGGCCTATTGTATTAAACTATAACCTGTATCCATTTATTTTCTTGACATGAAGAAAATATAATGTGTGATGCATACGTATGCTGTACTTGTAAAGCAGATGTTTTCTATTTAAAAAGGGAATGTACAGGTTTTAGTAATTTAAAATTAATCACTGACCATTGCCAATTATTTTTTGGAATGTCCCTTTAAGACACATCAGTCATTAGTTCATTATAACTGTAGTATTTGTATCACAGCATGTACCTCGTTCCTATGGTATTGTTGTGATATTGTTTTGAAGCTGCTATGATCTTGAGACCATAATTGTAGTTGAGAAGTTTAATTTGTTGATTACTGAAAAGCCTTGTTGTCAAATGGACAGATTCCAGATTTTCTTGAAGGCCATTTTAACTAGAGCCATGGGTTTTATTCCACGTTCAGTGTCATTCTGTATATGTTTGAATTTCTTATCTTAGCTACATGAATAAAGATGACGAAACAGACTTACTTGCGTTCGTTTTTTATTTAATAATTGTCACTTTTAAGCTGTTGTATTATCATTTTTCTTGGCAAATGAGTCAACCAGGAGTAGCAGCAAACCTATTAGACTTAACTGAGGAACACAATGTGACATAATTTAGAAGAGTAAATTCTAGGCCTATTAAAACTACTGTACTGTACCAAATAATCAAAATAAAGTCATTAATTATTATGAACCACAATTATTTGTGGTAGCGCCGCCACTCACCTGCAGATAGGCTATTATTTACTATAACTCGCAATCCTGGATCATCCTTTAAAAAACTATTAATTAAACCTTTAATTTATATTGCAGTGCGCTCATTGCAGTACTTCAACCAATTAACTAATTAATTACTACAAAATCATTGCTGCTGTAAGTTTATTCCATTAGCCATTCCGACTTCGTTCTATTGTGTAGGCCTACTAGTTAATATATACAGAGAAAGAATGAAGTAATTGAAATAAAATACATTAAAATACCTAAACGAACAATGAATAAATGATTAAGATAAATCTAGTCTTACTCCATGCTCCAAGCTATCGTTAAATAAAAAAAATTTAGATTAATATTGGAGGGGACTGCACTATATCATTTTTTGGTCGGAGTCATACATTTTGTGACGGAAATTGACTAAAACATTTATTGCCGCTTTAGTTAAAATTGAAAAATGTCTCATTTGTTTTAGTACATACTGGCTAATTGAACAACCTGAATTAGGCCTACAGGCTAGGGCGGTTCGTATTGTTTATCGTTCTGCACAAAACAAGTTACCTCAACCATGGAGGTATAAAAATATTATAGGCCCTATTTTATACCTCCATGCCTCAACCATGGATGAATCCATCTGCAACTGTGATGCGCATGCGTAATTGTAAATAACTTTTTGCCAACCAAGTGTAAACCAATGCTCAACTTCTTACTAGAGCATTGGTTTTGGTAACTTTTAAAAAGTAGAACGATTGGGGTTATCGACATCATTCTATCATCCTACTTTTTTTTTTCGTCTCAAGAAATCATATTGTTACTTCGATAAATAATTCTCTCCATCGCAAAATTTGAGTTTAAGGAATTAAGTTTTTCAATAGGACAGTAATCGATTAATAGTGAACATGTCGGAATTATCGAACAAAAACTGTGGCCAGTCAACATGTTTCTCTATTGAAAATATTCTTCGAAATGAGACTATTTTAACATCATCAGCATCACCATGGTCGTTTCTTGACTCCGGGGGTTACCACCATGGTGTGGTTCCGAGTCACGAAAGTTTCTGTTTTTGTCATCAATGTTACACAAATGGATTATTGCTCCAAGAGAAAAACATTCGCAATTTTCCTCAGTACTCTGCTTTTTTCAACCACGGGTGTCAAGGAAGTTATAGGCCTGTCACAGACTACGAACACAGCCTTGGATTTGTTGATTTTCCCTGTCTTGTACCGACTTCAGGTAAGTTCACTTCTTTTGTGTTTTATACAAAAAGGACTAATAATGAATTTGGAAACTCTATTACAGAGAGCTCATTGCTAAATTCCTGATGATGACATAATTAATGTCGAAATATTGAATCCCAACACGATGGCGTGTATTTCAATACTTGGAGTATGTATTATACTTTCTTATCTCATTGCTAAATAGTTCAAGCTAAAGCAGTATTGTATGCACATTGGAGTTAGGTGGTACTGTTATTGTTAAATATTATTTTGTTGGCTTATTTTAAGCTATTTATTTTTTTGCTGTTGAATTTTGTATTTTATCCTACTACTTCTCAAAGCTAGGGACTTAATAATGTATACTGTAGCCCAATTCAAAACCAACATCAATAAAATATCACTACTTAGGCGGCATACTGGTATTCATGCATAAAGTGTATTACAACATAATTCAAGACGGATAACAAAAAGACCAATAGATTCACAGGCTTTATTGCCATAGCATGGCCGTTGGCATTAAAAGGAGAAATAATATAATAAAATAACAT